GTGTGTGTGTGTGTGTGTGTGTGTGTGTGTGTGTGTGAGAGAGAGACAGTGAGGAGGTGCTGGCAGCTTTACAGCCACAGATGCATGACAGTGACAAGAGGGATCATGTGTGTGTGGAGAGGAAATGGAACATGAAGAACAAAACAAACGGGGAAAGGGTGTGTGCGCGTATGTGTGTGTGTGGTTGTGCGCATGTGAAAAAGTGACAAAGAGAGTCCCTGCACGCTTACACCCAGACTCAAAATGACATCACAAAGCGAGGCGCCACTCGGCGTGATCCCATGCTCACCTAACCTTCAAATGACATTAGGCATCCTGTCAACATATGATGAGTCACTGCCAGCCTGATGTGATTTATTCAATCCTGCCGAGTAGCTCTGATCACGGGACACAGATTGGAGCCATGAAGCGACGATTGGGAGTGTGTGGCAACAAACGTGTGCGTGCTAATGTGAGTGCTCGTGTTTGTTTTGATAGTATTTGTGCATTAATCCATCAGACAAGCATACAAGTGTGTGCATGTGGAAGTGATTTATGCAGTTAAAGAAGCTGTGTGAGTTTGGGGGTGTTTTTGCGTGTATTGGATGGGACAGGAAGAGTGGGAAGCAGAAAGCAGGGTAAAAACATGCAGCAAAGAGTCAAGGCTGGGAGTAAAACTAGCAACAACTGTGACGAGGACTGCATCTTTAATATGTAGGGTGCTTAAAGGGATATTCCGGCGTAAAATTAATTTAGGGTCAAACACACCGTAACACTGAGTTAGACACCCCCTCGAGAGATGATTGTTGCCGACCGCTTGCTTCTCTAGTTATACCAACTTTAGTAACGACCTCAGGATAGCAATACACAGTGGTCTATGGAGCCACACACAAACCTCAACCAAAAAGCCACTCTATAGCCACAAATAATGCTCAGAACAGCACCTAACTTCATCTACAGTACATATAGGGTCCCAGCCACAGCACTAGCCACCAAACATCTTTTCAACTAATTTCTTTAGCAAAGAGACTAAACACAACTCACCTACTCTCTTCCAGCAGCCGCTTGTTTGTAGTGAGTTAGGTGTATGAAGTTAGGTGTTGTTCTGAGCATTATTTGTGGCTATAGAGTGGTTATGGTTGAGGTTTGTGTGTGGCTCCTCAGACTGCTGTGTATTGCTATCCTGCGATCATTACTAAAGTTGGTATAACTAGAGAAGCAAGCAGTTGGCAACATTCATCTCTCAAGGGGGTGTCTAACTCGGTGTTACGGTGTGTTTGACCCTAAATTAATTTTACGCCGGAATATCCCTTTAAACTGCTATGCTGTCTACATGATGTCTGCTGCTCATGATTCTGTAAACTAAAGTTTTCTTTATATGGAGGAGCCTCAACATCCAAATAGAGTTGTTAATTCTCTTAGATTTTTATCCCAAGACTCCTCCTCTATCTTTCAATGGAGGAATATTAAAGGCTGGTTCAAGTGGACTTAAAGGGGAGAAAGGAAAATAACCTAATGCTAAGAGCTTGATCACACAAAGGTATAACTCAAATTGAATCTGAGTTATAGTACTGTTTTTACTGCATATCAGCAGCATTTCTAATTTGGCTCAGCACTATAAACTAATGCTCTGCCTCAAGATTTGAATTATCCAGGACCAGCGCTGTGAAAATCACAGGGCTGAATCAATGCGCTTTTGTGAGGTTTAACTCTCTGAGCTCTAAGACGAGAAAGGCAGTGAAAAAAAAAAACAGTTTTCACCACAGGCAGCAAATTTCCTTTATTATATCCTTAGGTTTGAAAAGTCTGTTACCATATAGTACATGAAATGTGCAATAATTAAAGGGAGGATCTACGCATGAATGAGTTAGGTGAAGTTCAACAAGTGCGTTTGGTCATGAAGGAAAAAGAGCTCCTCTATGGTTCAGTTCTCACACAAAACAATGTCATCACACAACAGGGTAAACTAACTTACCATGATGAAGGATGGAAACAGATTAGATGGTGCAGCAGTCTGGGAAATAATTTGTCAGCAATGTCAAGACCTGGTGTAAATGCGGTGTCAGCAGAGGGCAGAGACAAAGGAAGGGATGGTGGAAGATGAAAGGAGGAAGAAAAAGAAGAGTGGATATAGAGCTAGGGAGGACAGGGAAGATAAGAAAAGGATGTACTGGAGAAGTAATAGCTGGTCATAAAAGTGATGTAAGGTTAATGTGACGTATCACAACAAGAACTGCAGTGGAGTTGTTCACACAGTTATATTTGCCTAAAGAAGGGATGGTTTCTTGTTTTATAGCATTTATTAAACAGTGCTTCGGTCAAAGCTGGTTGTTTTAAATTTGCTTTATAAATAAACTTGATCAACCACAGCAATTCAAGGTGGAATACTTACACCTCATCTCTCATGTGTAGAGTACAGAGGCGTCATGGGGCAAAGTAGGGCCGCCTCTCATCTGCTGGAGGTAGTAACAAAGGCAGACTGAAGGGAAGACAGCGGCATTATAGTATCAAAGCCAGTGAGTTTGTGTGTTTACACATTATGCCTCTTATGCTTCTGCAGCACTGTGAATAGAGTCTGAACCCACACACTGGAACATCCCTGAGTTCTAGTGTGGAGTTCAGTGTGTGAGTAAGGAGGTGTGAAGATGGTAGAAAATCTTTTGTGGACTTGCAAAAGCGACTACGAACCGCGCATCAGGTGTTTGCTCTCAGGCTCATCACCATTCATCCACTCTCTCAACAACAGACAGATGCTTTAAAAATGACCTTACATTCTTTAATTTGTCTCCCCTGATTTAAATTAAACTGAATAAGTATTGAGGTAATGCAACTCAAGGGAAGGTCTTTGACGCAATTGCTAAATGGGCAGGTTTTGAAATTCAAAGGATGTCCGATTGAAGCGGCAGCAGCAGGAAAATCCCTGTGGGGTCCGTACACTGGTGGGGGTAGTGGCTGATTACTTGGTAGGAATGAATGGATGATGAATGAAGACTAATGATTCTGCAAGAACTGAGAGTGAGCTGAGACGGGGGGATTGGAGGGGCATGCAGATGTTGTGCATGAAGGAACAAGAAGCAGAAAAAGAAGCATATTGAAAAAGGAAAAACAAAGTGACGATGGATGTAAGACCGACAGTCTCAGACAATGACTCTATCGCAATACTAGACCAATTTCAGAAATTGTTCCTCCCATCAGTCAAGGACACACAAACACATGGGAAGATAGGGCTCCTGTTAAAAAAATAAAATTAAGTTATCCTATAAGGCAGTTTCGAGTTGTACTGGGCACATCCAACTCCAGGTGAAACAGCAGGAGACCCTGGGATGGACCAAGAGATTGCCAGTAGGATCCTATCAGGCCTGGAAACACCCCAGAAAGAGCTGGAAATGTTGCTGAGGAAAGGGATTTACTTGACAATGATTTAAAGGTGAAGAGTAAAGATTCGCCCCTCTGCAGTCTGTGAGCCATGTTATACTGTATTATAAACAAAGAATATGTTATGGGTTATTTTACAGTTAAAATGATGAAAATCTCTTGTCAAAAACACAAAAACTAGATCCAGTTTAACGCTGAAATGTCTAACCCTGTTAAATTGAGGAATAACCATCTTTACGAACTCTCTAAAACACCCTTTAATTTCCAACAAGCAGCTTGTGGACTGAAACACTTAATCAAGTCAAAGTGATATCAAAGCATGAACAATAATCCTACTGCCAACCCCTCAGCATGGGCTCATTGAGATACCATGCTAACAAATAGCAGAAAAAGATAACATCAAACTTCAGCTGCATATCTCTCATGTAAACTTGTTTTCTTTTTATTGTCAGAGGGATAATACACAATTAGCCGGTCGTTACTAAAGGAATTACCCCTGACTGGGAGGTGATTAGAAGAAAGAAATCTGTTGATTATACCGTCAGACGGTGGTGGTAAATCCTGCCACCTTTCAAAAATGAGCTTCATTTACTGATTAGAACAAAATAGATGAAGTAAGACAAGGTCAAGGGAGAAAAGGAAACAATGCGACACCTGATTACAGTTTTCAACCCTGTTTTAATTTACCATGATTTCTCTTTTTACCTTAATTAACGCAAACTCTCTAGGCTTGCTTTAGCCAATTTAAATAAATGAAATTTGTCCTCTGGAATCTAAGGTGGTCCTTTCAGTGTTTCCCCTAGAATAATTTTCAGCAGCATGCTGTGTTGAGGGGGTGGGGATTTTCACTAATACCCCCACTCTCTTGCTGCTAAAGGAAGGAGCTATGCTGTTATGTTCACATTACGTTACGTTACCCTCGCTATAAAGACCGTGTAAAAGCTTGAATGTTACCTTTCATGTTGATGGAAGAGGGTCCAACAGGATTTGATGCGTTCGTTGACGACTCAAAACAAGTCGAAAATAACATTGTGTGTAGTTTTGCTCACACAGAGCGAGTGGAGATTATTAGTGGCAGGCAATGATCATGTGAAATTTCAGTAGTGGCACACGTAACAAATGTAGGGAAAACACTGCCCTTATTTCCAGGAATGGTCTGCTTTGAAATATAACAGACAGTAAGATGTTGGATTGGACCAGCAGAGCAATGTTACTTCAAGAGCAAATGCAGCTGGCCAGACATTTAATATCATCTGCATGACAGAATCACCTAAATATGAATCTTTTGAAGTGTCATCCAGGACGATTCAAACCACATTCGTGATCTGATTTGGTTCAGGAGATCATGTTCATTCAAACACTGTTAGTAAGACGTAAATGTGTTAGGTCGGGGGCTGCATAATGATAGAGATTTTTCAGGCATAGAGGTGAGGGAGTCAATGATAAGCCTAACCTTTGAATCCACTTAAGGATGTTATTTACGCACTGAAACTTCATCTGTCCATGTGTTCAGAGGGTTAATGAGAAGCAAACTAATTACTCATTTGATCTGCTCATATCTAAACAGAAACAATATAACCAAATGCATTCACGGATATCAACAGTATGAGCACAAGTGAGAAAAGGAACTCTAGAAAAGAAGACACATGGGCACAGAGGAACAGGTGACCAGACTGAATGGAGAAAAGGTTAGCTTACTTCATGAGGTCGAGTTGTTGAAAGAGCAGCTCAGACACCAGGAAAATAAGGAGACCTTGGAAAAAGATCAACTGCTCGCTGAGGTTTTCAATAAGCAGTTGACAGTAGGAGTGGCAGTCCTTGAGAATGAGAAACTGAAGGAGGGTTGTGAAAATGAAAAGGAGAAGTGGAGTGAGGCCGAAGAACTCCTGGCTCAGGAAACAGAGATCATCTCCAGGCTGATCTGTGCCGTGCCTGTCCTAGCTGGACAGATCCCTTATCCCTTACCTTTAGACCATATGCTACTCTTAACCAAGCACATGTGGTTCTGGACAACAAAACCAGGCCCAAGAAGACACTGGAAGAAAGGAAGGAGGACAAGCCTTATCTCTTGGACGACACTACAGAGGGACACTCTAATATCAAGACTGTGCTGAAACAGGCTCAAGAAGAATCCTGCAGGTTGGGGCTACGCTAGAGCAGACCAAGAAGACCTAAAAACGAAGAAAACGCAGCGGGTGGAAGAAAAATCACTTCTTCTCTTACAAAATGAGGAAACCTGCTTGTTGAAGGCTGCACTAAATCAGGCTCAGGAAGACCTGAAAAAAACAAAGGCAGCAGTCAGAAGAGGAAAGATCAAATCTCCTCTCAGGCAAAGATGGATCCTCTGGGTTGAGGGCTTCCCTGAAGAAGAAGAAAAAGAAACAGTGGGAGGAAAAGAGATCACATCTCCTCTCGGTAAAAGAGGAAAGCAACACGTTAAGTGAAGCCCTCACTGAGGCGCAAGAGGACCTCAAGCAACAACAGCAACAGTGGGAGGAGGAGGGATCACATCATCTCTCAGAGAAAGAGGATTCATCCAAGCTGAAGACAGCACTGAATCAGGCCAAAATGGACCTGAAGAAAGAAAGGCAGCGGTGGGAGGAAGAAAGGATGCTTCTTCTGTCAGATAAATAGGAGCCTCTCAAGTTGAAGGGTGCTCTCACCCAGCCCAAGGGTCCTTCAAGAAACAAAAGCAGTAGGAGAAAGACAGAGTCCACCTTCTTCGGGTGGTAAAAAAGATGACTCCTGCCAGCTGAAGGCTGATCTGAATCAGGCTCAGGAGAAGTTGAAGCAAATGAAGCAGGAGTGGCTCTTCTTGAGGCAGAGGAGGCAACTGGCAGGATGAAGACTGCCTTAAACAGAGCCCAAGACGACCTGAAGACTCCAAGGTGTGAGTGGGAGAAGGAAAGGCACTTTTATCAACTGGACCTGGACAAACTTAAACATCAGTGGGAGGAGCATGAGGCTCATGTCCAGGCAGACCATTAAGAGGAAACTGGTCGGCTGAAGTCTGCTCTCTTATCAGGCTTGAAAGGACCTGTCCCAACAGACACATCAGTGCGAAGAGGACAGGTCAAGGCTTCTTTCAGAGCAGGAGAAATCTTTTTGTTCAAAGGCTTCACTCAATCAGGGCAGTAAGGATCTGGAGGGACAAAAGCTCCAGTGGAAGAGGGAGAAAACCTCCATGATGGAGTCAGTCAACAATATCCTGTAGGCGCTGAAGGAAGAAGGAAGAGAAGTCCATAACAACAAACAAGTTAAGAGTCTGAAATCAGAGATGGTCCTGGAGACAAATGCTCCTTAAAAGGACACAGGTACTCCTCTTTAGACCATTGACCTCCCCTGCCAAGAATATCCAACCCCTGGACCCTCCCCTCCACCCTTACTCCAAGCCCTCACCCTCATCCTTACCTCCCACCCTTACCCCAAGAGTCTGTTCACACATCAGCAGTTCTGCTGTTTTTACACATGAAACACAGAGACTAGGAGGGATATCCTTCTCTAGATTGTTGGTCTCATGAACATCAGACTGAAAAACTGCTGCTAATTGTAGTTGATTTTATACAAACAACAGACCTATGCAGGCTTTCAGTGTCAATGCACTTTTGATTTTAAGTTTTATTACATTCACTACTCTGCTGAGACAGAGAAAACCTGGATTCTGATTGGGCCTTTAGAGGTCAGGTGATTGCTGATTCAGCCTCTTTCAACCTCTCATATATTCATTGTAATGATAGTTACCTTGAGCCTCCATCAGATCCAGTTTAGAAGGAACAAAACCTTTATAAATGGATCTTTTAAAGGGAGATAGCAGCAACATACAGTACATCACAAAAAGACTTACAATGAAGTGGTAATGAAAGGAGTTCAACATTTTTCACTTTTCCATATCAAACCTATGAAAGTGACTCATGGCTATAGAGAAATAATTCAAAAGACCAATTCTCTATTTGTATAACAGGAACTCTCCTATAGAAGTGGTGGCAACATTGAACCTTGGACATGCAACCTTAACCTCAGTCTGAAGCCATGCCATTATTTGGTCGAGCCAGTGTTATAAAAGTCCACCTTTGGACTAAAAGCCCATTTGTTCAATAGTCTTTTTTTCAGCTAAAACATTATTCTGAAACTTCTACACTCCGAAACAAATCAATAAAAAAGCCCAACTTCTCATTAATTCACTTGCTCTGTAAATGTATGAACAGTAGTTTCTGGCTCTGTCCATGGTGCTGAATTATCAGGCTTTACCTCCTCTTTAGAAACATGCTGCGTAGTCTCCCATTTCAGAATTCAGACAATTTGATTACAATTTGACTTTTATTACAGAAGGGCAATCCAGTTTATAGTCCGCTTAGTTACATCAATAAAACTAAACAGTCAAACACACTCAACAGCAGCATTCAGACGTAACTACTCAAACACAGACAAGGCATTATAAAGTCATATCTTGCTCTCAGCTTCACCTCCAACAATCATGGGCCAGCCACACTAAAAATCCTGAGGTCGGATTTTGTAGTGTTGCTTTTAATAACTCCCCTTTTAAAAGAGGCATGCTGGTAGGTCATTATGTGGATTTTTGCAGACAATGCTCCGAATAACTCTAAAGACAGAGGAACTGTTTCTGTCTTTTGCATGTGTCTTACAGTGTGTTCTGATAAATTTGGGGCATTAGGATGAGAATTAGGATATGTGTGGACAAGTGTGTTAAGGGGAAGTGGGGCTTTTTCATAGGGTGTGGAAAAAGTTTGGAGCCCACTGCTCTTTAGGCATGCACAAAGAAAAACATATTAACGTATGGGTGGACACTCACTGATTTACTACAATGTAAACCATCTTCTCCAACCCTTACCCATCCAAATAAAAATAACATTTTTTGGAAAACTGTTGTCTAAGTATAATATTTTCAGATAACATTACACTGTCAGACAGAAGTGCTATCCGCCCACTGGGTCAGTAACTAACGAGGACTAAAATGATTATAAAAGCAAACAGATGAGGCAAAGGTTATCAAAAGATCATTTGTGGCTGGGCTATGGTGGAAATAGAGTAACTTTACACAGACTATGGGTGGAGATTTTATGGTTAGAGACCTTTGCTGATGTGGGCCAGAGTCTCAAGTAAACTCCAGCCTCTTTAGTCGTACTCTTTACTCACCCTTTCACCACAATGATCCATATGTCTAAAATTTTCAGAGCTAAAAGAATGTCACACTTTGGCAAGCTCTTGCTCTAATAGTTGTTTTTAATTATTAGAGACTTAGAACAAAAGCACACTTTCATGAGAGGGCAGGGGTGGTTGCCATTTTCTGAGACCCACTATCACAGTGAGTATTGAATATGAGTGTACAATGGACTGTGATGTGACACTAAATTTCCTTCCTCGGGTCTGTGAGTATTTATACAGGCACCATGTGGTGGTAAAGCAGAAGAATCATTTAAAAACAATAAAGAAAGGATGAAACACACATTACAACCACTACAAAGATAGCGGTGGGTCTCTTGACCATTTTAAAGATATAAGCTGAATGGTGGTGCTGTCTTTAAGTAACGGCTGGATTGTAAAAAAAAATGGTGGTAAGAGAGGGGAGGGTTAAAGTCTGTGCCATGCTGTATTTTCATACAGTACTACTACTAGAGAGTGATAAAAGAGCTTATTTAGGAGTCGACATAAAAGGTATCAAAAAGAAAACATGTAAAGGAAAGAGAGAGGAGATATACAACAGGTGTTGGGGCTGTAGCAGAGAACATGAAGATAGCAGCAGCCCACTCTTAATGAGTCATAAATCAGCCTGATATGAATCATCTCTGCAGCGCTATAAGAGAGCCTCATTAATTTCCATTAAAGAGCAGCTTTCTGGTAAGTTTACTACAGAATCTCATTTTCTCTTAGCCGCTTTTATTATGATCTTAAAATAATGCACACATCTCTTAATGAGCCGACACTCCAAAACTTTGATTTGGGATCAATCCCTTCAGCACAGATATTTGGGGCAGTGACCCATTCCCTTCAAGACAATCCTGATATCTTTATTAAAACATAGATTCATAACAATGCCATTTCTAAAAATATATACATATATCTACTTTTAGTGTAGCATTCAGTAAAGCAACTGGTCATGATGGAGCTGTCTGCTCGTTACTGCTTTGAGAGCAAATTAACAGAGGAGTTCTACTCTTTTTACACTTTCTCTGGTTGAATTTCAGGACAACATCACTGAAATAATATGCAACAGCAGGTATAAAGCATAATTTATAAAACTACAATTGGTTACCAAGCGCTAGGGGTGGGAGAAAAAAAATCGATACAGCATAGTATCACAATATTTTGTCTTGTGATATATTTTATTTTGAGTTTACAAATAATTGCTAATATGAAGTCAAATCTACGATAATGGAAAAATAAAATCAGCTGTTTGTCCGGTGAGGTTGGCAGAGGTGACATCGTAGAGCAAGAGAAGGTTAGTACAACACATATATATAAGATACATATGAGGTTTAGAAGATGTGCTACATGAAAATAAAATACAGCATAAGTAAGACAAAAATTATATAAATCGCAAAATATTGTATCGCAATACTAACTGTATTGCAAAATGTTAAAAATCGCAATGATATCATATCCTGGCCCAAGTATCTGGTACTGGTGATTCCCACACCTACCAAATGCATATAAGAAATTCTGCACTTACAAATTTCTATGAGGCAATTGGATAAAGTAAACATTTTATGGCAATTAACTAACTAAAGGGAGGGGAAAAACCCAAAGTTGAATGCCAAATGAACAAGCTCCTTTTACTAAGAACTGCTGAGAACAAGAGAAACTACAGCTATGCTGCTTAGAAATAAAACTTAACAAGGAGACACTTCTAAACTAAACAACAATGACTGCCAGGGATGTTTTATAAAGAGACACAAAAGGCTGTGAGAACTAGAAATGTAGAGTAAACCACACAGACACAAAGGTCTTCGAGATACTTCTGTTGACTCACATCTTCTTACAAAACAAACAATTAATGAAATGACCTCGAATTTTCTATAAAGGTACAATAATACTTCAGCGTTCAAGTTCTTATGTCCAATTACTGCACTTATTTCTTGTTCAAGAAACAACTTTG